CTCCCCCTCCCTCTGTTCCCTTGGAGCCCTCCTCCGCTTCCTCCCCTCTACCACTCTTCCCCCGCCGTTCGTCGCTTCACCAGTAAAAGCTCCACTTCTCCCTTCCTCCCCCTCCTCGGTCGTCACTAGATTAGCAACTTTCCTTGCCTAAGAGGCTTTTCAGGTTCATAGTTTTTATGAGACAAATGGAAATGCTTGACATAGCTGCATTTTTTCTCTTTTTGAAACTATTTTTTTAATTAACACCTTTTTTAGGTGGACATGAAGACAAAAACCAATACATTCCAGCACTTACTGGAACAAATGGCCTCAGCGGGTGTCATCGATGATAGCATCGTTAAAAATTTGCTTGAAAAAAGGTATATTTCTTTGCTTTTTTGCAGAAAAAACCCTTACCTTCTAGATATTGTTGTACAGGCGTCCATTGTTCGCACGTTTTAGGTTCTTTCAAAAACAGAATTTCCTTTTTCATTTTGAATTTTTCAAGGCCCATACATTAGTTTAACATCTCTAGATTATTACAGTTGGATAAGAAGTTTTTGTAAACTATATATTTTATACTGGTACGCATGGTACTGAGATTTTTATTACCATCCCTCGTCTACCAAACAACCCCGGGGCGCTCCTATTTGGAATGATCACTTCTTGGCCGGACCTCCATGGCCCTTTTTATTTCTCAAAGCCAAATCTACAGTGTTTGCTTTTCAGTGTTTAATAAAGCCCCACTTTCGGGTGATTTATAAAGATCCACTTTAAAGGATGACCATTTTGGGCATTGATATTTTCCGATTTGCTTGAGTTCAGTAGTTATTTTTAATATAATACAGAAACATTAAAGATGGCATTTCCAATTAATTCATGCTTGGAGAGCTGTTAAGCTGGTAATCCCCTTCGGAAGACGAAAGAGTAGCTGGAAATTTGTCATTTGCGTGGTTTGGAGAGAACTAGGCCAGGAATTACAGTTAATCTGAGTACATCGAATATTCTTAATAACTCGAAATTTATGATTTTGTTACAGATCGCAATCACTGATGTTGTACTGTCCCGAACTCTTCCAAATGTTCGCACAAACGTCAACTACACCCGTCCATCAACCACTTATTTTACGTGCAAATTCTGCGAAACTGGCTGTTGATAAGGTTTTTTTTTTCTTATCTTTTTTTTGGTGATAGGCTATTTTTTTGGATTCGGGTTGATTGTTTTTTTTTTTACTTGTTTTGTTGTTTTTTTGGGCTTCTTGTGTCAATAGGACGATGTATTTTTGCACGATTTTTTTTCAGTCGAAGTTAAGGTTTTTCGTTATTTCAGATATTAAGACAGACGAATAATGCAGTGATAAATGTCTTGCTGAAACTTGCTAGTGGCAGTGGAGGACTTTTCACATTTGATTCTGTTTGTGCATCATTTTGTGCCGATGGAAATTTGACATATTTTAGCTCAAAACTTGCAATGTGAGTTTTTCTTTATCATGTATTTGGAATGGTTTTTTTTTCGTTTTTTAGGCTTTTTTGGCAGTAAAATTAGAGGAATTTTGTCGAAGGACGCTGAAATATTTGAGATTTGTTAATTAGCTATAAGTGGAATAACAGTTTGAGTAAGAATATTAAACTGTGTTGGATAGAAATAGATCAAAATTCAAGAAAATAGGGTTTCAATTTGGAAAAAAAATTTGCAGGATGTGTCCACCGTATTCGTTTTTTTTTGAAAATTTTTTAGGATCAGCGTGAACAAGCTTCGAAGGGTTAAGGGATGTCGGGGTTTTGAACCGGAGGGGAAATTTTTTAGGGATACGTATGCCCACTGAACCGTTTTTCCGAGGATTTTTTTAGGATCAATGCTCAAAGTGAACGAGCCTCAGAGGGACAAGATATGGACGATGGACGCCAACGGGCTCTTGCCTTTAATCTATCATTCATTTTGCTTACTCGAATGCGTTTTATATACAATGATCTTGTAAGCATTTTCGTTATTTCTAGAATTCATTGGATTATTTAGCCATAATTTATAATCTTATAACAGTTCTTGAACTGTGCAACTGGCAGCTTTTCCAGTTGCTTTGACCAGTGCTGCTGTTGCATCATGACTCCCTCCTAGGTAGGTTGTGCACTGCCGCGAAAGCGGCCTATATAAGGTAGTATTTTGTCTAGCGTAGTGTGTTGACCAGTGTCAATCCCATCTAGTATCGTCGATCGTTCTCGTGTAGTGTGCCGACCAGGACGACTTACGAAGGATGAGCACCCCGTTGCAACCCCAAGTAATTGCCAGGGGACCGACGGCCCGATTTGAAAGGCTGCAGTACCTGGCCAGTCGACTGGAGCGCCCGGACCGGGAGCCCAACACTGCATTATCCGATAGTCAGCCTGTTGGCCATCCTGACTTTCATATGGTCTTCTGAAGGACTACCAATTGAACTGTCCACCCAAAATAAGCAAAATTTTGCTTTTTTTTGCATATTTTGAGTATGGTCGTTTTCATCACGGACGTTGCCAGGGTATGGATGCCTTAAATCTAGAATTTCCTAAAATTTTTCAGTGTAAAAATTTTTTACAGCGACCAAGTGAATTGGTAAGTGGGACACTCCGGGGCGCGGACAACACCCAATCATGCTTCTACAAATTCGCATCACAGTACGGATGGACAGCAGCTGATAGTTGTAGCACACCGATTACTTACACCAGTGACCAGAAAGCTGCCTTTATTGAACGTGTCAGTATCCTGAAACGTGCCCAACCATTTTGGGATCCAAGAACGTAAGTCAATTTTTTTATAATTTTTAGTAAAATTATGGTCCATCTCAATAATATCCTTTTGTTA